CATGTTGCGCGCGCGTACGCTCTTTGAAAACGAGGCTACTTGCAGATTGCTCAGGGTGGCAGCGGCGGCTAGTGCAAGCTATCGTTATTCTTGACCGCCACCCCAAAAAAAGTAGCCGACAGCGAAGAATATGAGAAAAAGTAAGCAAAGCCGAAAAATGGAGAAAGAAGTCAAAAATAGTCGATGATTCATGATTTGTAAAATAAGACATGTGAGATGCAGTCACACTACAACTTATCCAATTGAATATATAGTCGTGTGAAAGTTCCGACGTGAGATGCAGCTACATTACGCCCATTTATTTTACGCTAATACATAGCCATGCGAAAGTCCTAATAAGCCAAAATTACAGAAACTTTCGCTTGAGAACGGCGTTTCCCCGAAAATTTCCGTGAAAGCTTTATTTGGCAATTTTTGTGACGTCATATTTGAAAGTTCCGAAAATTAAGACTCTCTCAAATTTCAGCGTTATGTCGCGATCTTGGAAAAGCTCCGGTGTTTTGGTTTGCACGAAGGACCGTTGGATTGTCTGAGTAAAGAGGATTTTAAAATTTTGCAATGTAATTCCAGATACTACTCAAATCTAGAGTGCTCATGAGGAGAGGAGTTTTACTGCTCAATTCATCGAATTGTCAGGTTGGATTAGAAGAAAAATCAAATTGGGGTGTCACAATTTAAACTTTGAAAAATTATTTCAGCGATGGGAAGAAGTCAGCCTATTCTCGTGCAGAGTAATTTCCTTATCTCATTGAAAATGTATCTTGCCATCACTGGCGCTTTGATAACTTGTTATCGTAACAACTCCAAATTTTTAGTTATATCAATTTTACCCAACTCTTTTTCTTATAGAGCTTGAGCAGTCAAGCAAAGAAATTCTTGAGTTAGGCTTTGTGCTTTAATTAATGGCTTGAGACAAAGTGACTTGTGATTTTATATTCATACTCTTCCCAAGAATTTTTGATTGAATAAAGTATATTACAGGTGCTTGGTGGAGATACCGATGAAAGACTGCTCAATGATTTTTTCCCTTTTGTTGAGCGATTAGGCGTTGGTGATGTAAATACCAATCGGTCAGGCTGTTCAATATTGCTTTCTGAAAGCAGCATACCTTTGTTTCAGCTGCGATATCCCACAAATGTCGAAAAAGGAAAAATCAGAAACAAAATGTGGAATCAAGAGACCCCGCCGCGCTTGCAACATAGCAAAGTGGGTTATTTCTGTTTTTGATTGCCTCTGTGTGCAATACAATGTCCTCTTATAGTCTCGCAACTATTTCGCCTTTTCTTGTTCCGCTAATTTCTCATCAGCTTCCATGTAAAGAACTTCCCGTTAAACAGGAGGTATACTACGATTTTTTGTTCACCACAAAGGTGTGTTTGATTTAGATATCAGAACAAGAACGCACCGCTGTGGTGCCTCCTATTCAAAATATTACCCCACCGATTCTTCGCAACAACGTTGTTGACAAGGTAGAAGAAGTCGAGTGCTGCAGAGGTATACGCTAAATTCTGCTTTTTATGGAAAGGGTCAAATAGACAACAGAAGCGCTGCACTATTTTTTTT